TATGACATCAGTGTGCTAGGCATCCACGGAATTTTAGTTCAAAAATGTATGTAGTGGCCTAAATAAATAAATAAATAATCCTATTTTTAAGTCGGTACTGAATGTTTAGGCACCCATTCTACACATGGTTCAAACATCTAAATTACTATGTCTCTAAAGATCTGGAGTTTTCCAGTACTGCAGCAATATATTGATTACTAAACTCTTAAGGCAATATAAACTTTATGCAGGTTCAGCCACTGATTTGTTATGAAGGAGTTGACAGCACCCATCAAGATGCTCTGTGAGGCACAGTTGGGAGGAAGCATCTTTTTTTTCCTGAGCACTCGGATAATTCTCAGTAACATTTAAAGCCTGACTTGGATACAGTTAGAAATTAATCAGGCTTCTCAAACTTTGCAGTTGCCAGGACCCCTCTAAAATAATAAAAGAATTTGTGTGATTTATTTATGAGTAAAATTAATGATTTCAGTTTGACTAGACAAAACGGAATTTAAATCGTGCTAACTCTCTGCTAGACTGAAATCTGTATCAAGCAGATTTATTGTCCTAGGAAACTTTATTTTCTTGCATTAAAAATGGCTTTTTACAGTTTTCTGTATTATCAGAAACTCCATACAAAAGCAGCAGACCCAGCTATGATTCCACAGGGAGGCAAATTCAGGATCACTGCTTCAACCAGCAATACAAATTCTGATACAGATAGCAATTCTGATCCACCATCCAAATGTTACCAGAGGTCAATTCAGGCTTCCACATCATCACCAAATACCTCAGCCTTAATCCAAAGATCAGAGGCTCTCAAATCCAGGATTTAAGTCAAGGTCTGTCAGGCCCAGCCCAAGAACAACACGGAAACAATCCAATCAAGTTCAGTTCTTTTATTGCTTACACCATATAGACAGAATCTTGCCAGACTAAATCTGTACTACAATAACCTAATGGATATACCCTGGAGGATTCTAGGGAGTGGCTATCCTACATCCTCTTCCCATGCTCTTGCTTTGGATTGTGTTGCCTCTTGCCTCCTCCCCTCTCCTCTTGGAATGTGCTCCCTCCTTCCTGCGAACCTGGTTTTCTACTGCATTCCATCATACCAACTCCCCCCTCAGAGATACATTCCATCACAAGGTCCTACATCTCTGCATTGATCAAATGAGGACCTTCAGAATCTGAAACCCTTAAAAACTTGCCATTTTCAGATCAGAAAATCAAGCTCTTATGTTAACTCAGCAATGTACCTATAGCGATGTGTCACTGTGGATAAGTGTCAGGCTCCAAGCCAGAGACCTAGCCCTTTAAGGTCATCTACTCCTTAAGAGAAAGTTGGAACCTGAATAAGGGGACTAATATTAGAAGGCAATTCTTTCATGTGAGGGGAGAAATGTAAGCACTATGCATATATTAGAGTAATGAAATAGGACACAATATTTACCTGGATTTTACAGAGCTTTAACTTATAGAATTTTATAGAATTATGCACACTTGTCCACTAATGCTATTCTAAGCCACAATCAGTTCTATTAAATGTATGTGACATGCTGTGTGTTGACTCAACTAATATAGTGGGAGCACACTGAACATTGTATGAATAGTCTTCTTTCAGAACAGAACGTTTGTTTTTCCCTTCCTTTGTGATATTTCCACCTCACAAATCTATTCATCTTAAATTTAATTTCTATATTATACTCATCTTAACAACATTTATATCATAATCTTCACCAGAACAAAAGCAATAATTCATTTATATTAATTTGCACTCTAATTTCCAAACATATGCATAAAGAATTAAGGTGGGGAATGACAGGTATGCTTTTAAAATGAGTCACTGTGGCTTCAGAAATGGCACATGTAAGAAATGGCATGTGTATATCCACTTGATCACAAATACAGATTATTCTAATAGGTAGTAAAAAGTAGAGACCCACTTTCATAGTGACCTCTACAAAATTATAAACAAAGCAAAACATACAAATGGTTAGAAACTATTTCTACCATGATGGAAAATAACATTATCAGTTTCTTTAGCTATAAAACAGTGGGTCCTTTTGATGCATGTAATTTCATTAAAAGATTAAAAGACTAAAAACTGATTAGCACATAAGAAGCCTTTGGCCTGTTTACTCTTGATGGCTGCAAAAGATGCAGTTGTATGAAGTGGGCAATCCCAAAGCCTCAAAGTTTGCTTTAGGTCTGAATCAATGTTTGTGGCCCCTAGAGGTGTTTCTTACTACAATTGCTAGAAACTGGTGACCATGTTGAAGCAGGAAATACAAAAAACTGAACAAAAAATCTAAAATAGGTTTGGCATAGTTAAAAAAACAAAGAACTTCCCCACAAAACCTAGAACAATTAAAAATCCTAGTCCCACTTACATGCGACTTTACACTGCCCTTCCTGCTGCAGTCCTTGGTGATACAAGAAGTTTTAAGCGTTAACCTTTGTCATCAAAAGTTTTCTCACTCTGTTCAAAAGGGGTTTTTTGTGTTGTTTGTCTTGTTATATGCAATCATAAAACAATGAACTGTATTTGAATATAATAATGTTAGTATCAATAACTTTTTATTTTTTATATCACTGGTTATTTTGAAACATAAAGCATCTTCTATGATCAGCAGAAACCTCCACTCTTAGACATTATTTGCTAATGTAGTAAAACTGAGACTTAAATGGCTATTCATGAATAGCTTATAAAAATTCTGCAATGGTTCGACACCCTTTACATTTTTTTAGTAAGCATATTAATCAGTAATATCAAACAATAAAAAGGTTCTACACTATAGCTTTCAGTATTTGAAAGTGACAAAAAATATTGTTTTCTATTAAATTAAATAAAAATTAGAGTTAGCTTCATCAAGACAACCTCTTATGACTTCTAGGGTTATCACTATAGAATTGTCCAGTCTGAATATTTGTAACTATGTAAAAGTTTAGGTGATTCAGTAAAAGATAAACACTAAAATGTTTTTGAACAAAAAATCAAGGAAAGCATTAACTGAAAGGATGTCTTAATCATGTAATGTAGATCTTATTTCCTTTCCTTAGCTGATTGAAAAAATTAATAGCTAGAAATGGAATCTCCCTAAACAGCCAACACATACCCAAATAAAATATTCTATTATCATACCTACAGCTACAACTCTTCCCATAATAAATTCCTCCAGAAAAGCCCCAGCTGCATGTAAATTACCCAAACATTTCCAACCCTGAGCAATTCCTGAATGTTGCCAGGTAACAGGCTTAGCAAACTATTAGGGTGTGAATCATGTCTGGCCAAAAAGCAACACTACTGAGTCAAACCAACCATTCACACAGTCCAGCAGATGAGTTCCAACAATGGCCAGGATCTGAAAGTTGACAGACCATCCTCATAGCTGGCCACTAATAACTGCCTCAAAATATGAAAACCACCTCTAAATATGGAAACTCAGCAATCGCTGTCAACAGCTACTGAAAAGACCTATCCTCCCCATAAAGTTTTCTAAACCTGCTTTAAAGACACATTTGCAGACACCACATCTTACATTTCATGTTAATTACGTCTTTTATGAAAAAGTTTTGTCTCCAGCTATTCAAGAACTATGGTTTTCACATTTAGTGAGCAATATGTAAAGATTTTCAGCTAGAAATGCCTTCCTTGTCTTACTGAAACAGATTTTATAGTGGACATATAGGCAACCCTTCCACTGGAACACCCAGCAGTGTGGCCAGAGACAGCTCCTGCTTAGCCATGCAAGCTCTGCAAAGAGCCCAACTGCTTCAACACCTATTTTGGATGCTTTCCACAGCCCTACTATTGATTATATTATTACAGAAATCGTTTTTTTAAAATTCAGTACCGTATACATTGAAAATCTGCAAACTATATTTATTAACTCCTTTGGGAGATGTTCTTATCTAATAGCTAAATAAAATCTAAACATTTATTTGGGGGAACAATATGGGAAGATAGCTTTCAGACACTGACCTTGTTAGTCCTGTTATTCACATCCAAGATACAACACATCCAAGATACAACAAGAGCACCATCTAGCGACCTGTTTCTTTCTCTCCCAGGATACATGCAATATAATGTGCTGTGTATATCCTTTGAAAGTGCTTTTCAGCATGTATGTATCTCTTTCTGAATAGTTAAGCAGCCCTGTCCTTCTCTGGACTTGTGCCACTGCTTCGCAAATTGTTCTGAGATGTCTCTGCAAACATATACAAGTAAAGCCACTTCGCGTGTTCCTTGCCATGTCTGCAAGCAAGTCAGCTACATGACTTATATTATAGCTACTCAAAGATTTTAAAAATGTCATGTCAATAATAATAATAACAACAACAATAATTTATTAAACTTGTATACCACTTGACTCTCAATGACTCACAACAATCAAACAAAGAAATTAGAATAAAATCTATAAAACATAAAAGATAAACTCCAAGATAAAGACCAACTCAGACATACAATCAAGCAGTAAACAACAGCCTAATCAAGGAACTATCAAGGAGAAAACAATACCCCCACCAACAGTGACAGGGCAAGCTACTGTATATAAACAGAGAGCAAACCTCACTCCCTTCTTGCACTGAAGATGTTAGTAACAAAACGTCTGCAAAAAAACAACCAAGCTCAGAGAACACCAAGGACTCCACAGATAAAGATAAAAGACAGCAAGCACAATGAAGCACAGGGCCTCACTCTCCTTCACCAAAGGCCTGGGTGAAGAGCCAGGTCTTCGTGGCTCTTCTAAACAGCAGAGTGGGGGCCATCCAGATCTCAGGAAGAACCTCATTCCAGAGGGCAGGTGCTGCTACAGAGAAGGCACACTTCCAGGGTCCCGACAGATGACATCGAAGGAACCCAGAATGCACCAACCATGCAGGATTGAATTGGTTGGGCAGATGTTATGGTAACCAGATCCTATGCTGGGTAGGGCAATATTACAGTGTTACAGACAAATATAATCTTGTAGTACTCGGATCAAAATAAAAACATTTGTTTCATTGACACTCACCTGGGGAGATGTATTTCGAAATACATCAGTGCCTTCTATCACATCCTTTTTTATTTTTTCCTTCAGAATGATGAATTCTTCTTGATTCAGATTAATATCTTCCAAAGGCTGACCACAAGATGGACACTGCCTGCTGCAGTAACAATGAAATCACATAATGATTTTATTAGCTACTTATAAAATATCAGCATCTTAAATAAGTTTCTCCTTACTATATGACTGAAGCATCATTACCTTTAAATACACTGTAGGACAAGATGTCCAAGAAAGCTACATATGTAAGTCCCACCTAAACCAGTCTATTTGATTGGCAACCATTTTTTGTTGGTTTCAGCAGCATGCTGGCTGCTGAAAACAATTCTTCTGCAGACAGCATGGAAATGAAGTCAACCATGCCATTAGCAGGTAGGCAAAAGAAAAATATATCTAGTAATGTTTTTGGGCTTATTTACAAGGCTGGATTGAATATTTTGATAGAAAAACATTAAATAGAATATTCATTAAATATTAAGTTAACTTGCAGACCTACATGAAAAAGCTTCAGTTGGCTTCATTTCAACATATACCTGAATGAGCCAAAAGTTCATGCATTCCTTCCCTCACTTCTTTTCCAGCATAGCCACAAGAAGACAAGAAACCTAAGTAGCAATACAGTAGGGCAAACTGTATGAAACTGTATTTAATATTAATTAGGATTTATTGAAACCAGCCACTCAAAAATATATGATTTGGCTTATTTCAATTAAGCATAGTTAAGATTAACAATGCCTTACCCAGGTCTAAATACAATGTGGAACAGCAATTAAGAACAAATGTGAACATTTTGATCTGTTCTTGAGAGCGGGGTAAGTTAAAGAGCCTGCACCTTGCTCAGATGTACTCATGGAATATTAAACTATTTAATCATTATGCATAAATGGCAGTTTTACGTAATGGTGATACTGAACATTTAAGATACAGTATATAAAACTAGGATTTTAGGATTAGAAACAAAAAAAAAATCAAGCTATCTGCGTTTCATTAATTCATCAATGTTGATTTTCATTTTCAAGAGCTTATTCGCTAAGAACAGAAGTAAGGCTCCAGTGACTCTGCTGGCTGATTTGAAGATCTGCCTTAACACAACTTTAAAACTATGTGACTTTTGGAAGCAGGGATTAGGGCAATCAATTCAAATGGCAGAAAAAAATTGTATTGTGCTACAGTATAAAACAGCTTTATCCAAATTGCTGAGCTACATAACTACCATAAGTCTCAGCTGGTAATTGTGGAAGCTATATTCCCATGTAGCCAGAAGTCACCTGTTTGAGAATACCTGCAAAAGGGGAGATGTCTGCTAATGTTCCTGATTCCTCTGAAATTTAATGAGTAAGCATGCTCATGCTAAAATGCTACAGTTAAATGGGGGTAGATGTGTCCTCTACATAACCACCTGAATTCTTCCCTCTAACTGCAGTCCTCCATCTATATTTATTTTTATAGCCCATCTTTCTTCAAGGGAACATTCATGATTCTTCCTCCAACCATGAAGACCAGGCAGCTAGAGAAGAAGTGGCATTATATATGAAGAAAGTGCACATACACATTAAGATCTAGGATTCTGAGCACAAGGGTCCACTAGATAGCATTTGGGAAAGAATAAAAGACAAAATACATTATTATGGAAGTGTGCTATAGCTAGCTGAGCCAGGAGAAGATCTGGGTAATTTCCTCCTGGACCAGATTATAAACCTTTAAAGAAAGAGACACAGAATAATGGGAGACTTTAGCTATTCAGATATTTATTGTAATAGCAACTTAGCCAAGACTGCAAGATTCCAAAAACAACACAGTGGTCTTGTTGACCATTTCACTTTCCAGACTGTTAAAGAAGTGACAAAAAGTTATCCTAGATCTTATCCTAATCAATAAGGAAGATAGAGGTTCAAGAGGTAAAAGTAGTGGGAACTTTGGGAGAAAGTGACCATGTCATCTTGGAGTTCAAGATGCTACAGGAAGAGAACATGGAAAATATTCATATATACACACATGACTTCAGGAGAGCCAATTCCAATAAGCTGGAGAGAGGTACTAGATAGGACTCCATGTATGCAAATCCTCAGGTCAAAAGAAGCCCAGGAGGGCCGGAAACTGAAAAATAATATACTGAAAGTATAATCACATACCGTTCCAGTGAGGGAAAAGTGCTGGACAGTTTAGGAAATTGTTAAGGATGCATAACGGGCTTTCAACTAAACTAAGAGTTAAAAAGGGGAAAATGCAGGAAATGGAAGATGAGTGTAATCACCAAGCAGGCATACCAGCCAGTAGCTACTATCTACAGAAAGAAAGTTAAAAAGGCTAAAGTACAAAGAAACTAAAGAGCACAAGAGAGGCTAAAAGCAATAAAAGAAGGCTTTTTGGCTATATGAGTAGTGAAAAAAGAAAAAAGAAAAAAGAAAAAAGGAAGGGTAGGTTGTTAGAAGATTGTAGAATAGTAGCAAGTGACAGGGAGATGGTAGAGTTCCTTAACATTCCTTTACTATAGTCTTTTCCCCAAATGAAAACTGTGCTTAAATGGAACTAAGCAGAACAATTGACAAAAAGGAAGGGCAACTTAAGGTAAGTAAAAGGGAGGTTAGGGAGCACCTGGCTAATCTAGTCTAGTCTCCAGGACTAGACTAGTTATATCAAAGAGTTTTGCAGCTTGCAGATGTCGTATCAGAGCTCCTTTCTGTGATCTTTGAGAAATCATGGAGAACAGGCATAGTACCACAGTACTAGAGAGTTGAAAATGCTGTTCCTATTTTCAAAAAAGGGAAAAAAGAGGACCCAGATAACTGCAGACTACTCAGCTTGACATCAGCAGTCAGTCTGTGAGCATTTAGAGAAGTATATTGCTTAATAGGAGCCAGAATACACTTATCAAGAATAAGTCATATCAACCCAATTTGATTTCTTTTTTTGATAATCACAGGAACCCAGTGAACATATATACTTCGACTCCAGCCAAGCATTTGACAAAGCCTACCGTGGGATTCTAGAAGGAAGATGACAAAATGTGGACTAGCCTACGCTACCATTAGATTAATAGAGCTTCTTGATCCATCATACAGAAGTGTACATAAATGGCTCCATGTCTAGAAAGAATCATTCAGCATCATTCTACAGGGCCTGTGCTATTCAATGTACTTTTAAATAACCTGGATGAGGGATTCGAAAATATAATTATCTAATTTGCAGATGACACAAATGATGGGTGGACAGCAGCCCTACCCCTAAGGACAATGTGAAGATTTAGGAAGTTCATAACAAGCTGGAACAATGGGAAGAAACCAGCAGAATGAATTTCAACAGGGACAAACCTAAAATCCTACATCTGGGTAGGAAAAATCAAAGGCATGAATATAGGATGAGAGAGACTATATTTGGCACAGCACATACAAAAAGGATCTAGGCGTCTTGGTAGATCACAAGCTGAACACGAGCCAGTTGTTAAAACTACAGGTAGTCCTTGGGTTACAATGGTAATTGGGACCAGAATTTCCATCACTAAGTGATGCAGTCATAAAGCACAATGTCATGTGACCACATCGCTTAGTGATCGCAATCTCAGCACTTCCTGTTGGCAACCAAATACCACCAGTCGCGAGGTGATGACCCACCTCACCCATTCCTGGCTTGGTTCCTCCCAGCCCCAAGACTCAGTAAGATAAAGGACTGAGTCCTCTTGAACTCCCCCCACTCACCTATCTTCCCCGCCCCACCAGCAGCAATCCTTGGAAGTGGTGGCAACATGAGTGGTGTTAGGGCTGAAGTAGAGGCCCGGGACCTTTAGCAGTCTAAGCCAGGCACCACTGCCTCAGGCCTCTACTTCAACCCTGATGCCGCCACTGCCACTGAGTGCTGCCTTAAGCCCGAAGCTACAGCCAGCCCCCCAGCACCATAGTGAAAGCCCCAGCCACCCCTGCCACCCTGCTTCCATAGGCCCTGCAGCCCTCAGTTGACCTTCACCTTCTTCTTTCTCCTGCTGCTGACAAGGCATGTCCAGCCTGGCCCTATGCAAGGCAGCTGCTGGCTACACCATGACTTCTTTCCGAGACCGCATGCACCCTTCTCCAAATCGCACGCTGCCTTTTTGCAATTCATCTCACGATGCTTCTGAGGCCTTCTGAAGCATCACAAGAAGGCAGCGTGCGATTTGGAGAAGCACATGTGCAATTTGGAGAGGGGTGGGCGTGGCCTTCTCACAAACTTTTGGAAGGCCTCAGAAGCATCTGAAGGCCTGCGGTTGTAAGTGTATGCAGGCTGCCAAGTGTCCTAATTTTGATGACATGACTGCGGGGGCACTATAATGGCTGCAATTTTTGGGACAGGGCATAAGTACCATTTGTTCACCATCACCATAACTTCAAACAGCCAGTGAATGAATGGTTGTTAAGCAAGGGCTACCCGTATACAAAATGAATGCAGTTGTAGGCTGCATCAATAGAAGATATATTCTGTATTGGTCAGATTGCACATACAGTAAAATATTGTATCCAGTTCTGGCCATTTCATTTTCAGAAAGACATTGCCAAACTTGAGTATGTCCAGAAGACAATAATCAAGATGACAAGGAAGGAAAAAACCTATAGGGAACTGTACTGGATTGATTGATTGATTGGATTTCTCCCCCGCCCATCTCCCCCACAATAGGGGACTCTATTTAGCCTGGAAAAAAGAAGATAGCGAGGAGATATGAGAGGTGTCTTCAAGTATCTGAAAGATTGTGATGAAAAAGACATGAACAGACTCCAAACAAAAACACTGTTCAGTTATTCCAGAAGGCAATAAGAAACAAGAGGTTTTAATAATAAGTTAATTTCAGATGGACACAGGAAACAACTCCTAACTGTAAGAATTGGTCAATAAGGTACACACTGCATCAGGAGATGGTGGACCCCCCCTTAACTGTTTTTAAACAGAGACTGGATAGCCATCTGTCAGAGATGCTAAAGTAGTAAATTGTCTCAACACATGGACAACCATAATTTAAACTGGGTAACTGTGAGCATCTTAGACCAAGCTAAATCCAAAAACAACTAGGGAATTCCTGGAAGCTTGGCATTCAGACAAATTAGCCATCAATAAACACATAGAAATAAACCATATTTACACACCATTCAAAAGAAACAATAAAAAAGCTAAGAAGGAAACAAAAAGGCCACAACACATCTCCTCCAGCGGCCAATACCCATATAAGCAGGGATTAACACCAGGCAAACAATCAAGCAGAAAACAACACCCTAATCAAGGAACTACCAAGGAGAAAAACCACACCCCCAGCAAAACTGGCAGGGTAAGCTACTATATATATACACAGGGAGCAAATCACTCACTCACACTGATGATGTTACCTAGTCTGATAATGAAATGTCTACAAGCAAACAACCAAGTTCAGAGAACACCAAGGACTCCATAGTTCAACCCTGAGCTACATATATATTCTCTTTTATTGGAACAATCTTATTTTTATGGTTAGAGAATGGGGAAACATTCTTCTTGATCTTATCACATGGTTTAACTATATAAATCTCTATTTTCTACAACTTGGAAATTACAGGTTCAAGTGTACCCTCAGCCACAGAAACTCCTTGGGTGACTCTGAGCTAGTCACTATCTCTCACCCCAACCTAAACAGATTTTCTTCCTGCAAGAATATCAAGTAAGCTGCTTTGAGCTTCTAGAGGAAATGTGAGATATGAATAAACAAACAGGACATTTTGGCATTGCACTGCACTCTCGTTAAGGTAGACATTAGATTTCCTATGAATTTTAACACACTTTTGCACAATTATTAGGAAAAAAGCCTGGCATTATCTAACTGTCAAGCCAAATATGAAAACCTTTCCTTCTGTTCCTCCATTTGAAGAAGTAACTGAAGAAGCTAAACATTAGGCAGAACTTTAAAGAAAAATATTTACCTATAATTCATGGTTGTTAAATTTCCTTTCCAGTTCTCCCCTGGAATACTATAAAAAATACATAAAAATTAGAATCCAATTACAATAATTTAAACACATCCAAAAGAAGCATTTCCTGCTATTAAATCCAAATGAAGGCATTGATCCTGTACCGTACACATATATAGATATAAGCTCTTCCTTAGAATATAGGGGTTTACATCTAAGCAGACATATATAGAATTAAAGTGCAACTGCAATTCTATGCAGTTACTTACACGTAAGCCCCACTCATTGTTTAGAGAATATAACTTATTATCTATCTAATAGGGTTTTGTTAGGAGTTAACAATTCTCAAGCAGGAACAGACAGAATGTAAACAAGTAATTCTCACAAGCAAGTGTAGGAAAAATAGTTGATTTGAATCCAAAGTAAATATAAGCTTGGAATCAGCTTTCATGGCTCAGGGACTGTTAATTATTTGTAATGGTTACAATTCTTGAATTACAATAAAGATTGAGTCCTAGTTGTACTGAATCTCTAGGAAGCTGCAGGAAGTTTGTGTCTGCTTTGGGAGAGCCTAGCAATAGTTGTACAATTAAAATTAAATATCATAAATACTGTAGAATTTCCCTCTTTCAGTAATCAGCATTTAACATGTATTATTTTTAAAGAAAGTAGCAGCATTACAACTTATACTGAAGTACCCCATTATTTGTAAATGCATCAATAGGCTGTATCAAAAAAATATAAAGTAGCTTTGTCAATGACATTATTTAACATGGAGATTCAACAGAAGTCTTTAAGAGTGGTTGATTATCTCACTGAGTAGGTTCATGTATCACACTATGCTATAAACCATCTACGGCATAAACCATAATGTAGTTTGCTGCTTGTAGCTAAGTGTAGTTTATAAGCTAAGATTTATAAGGATTTATGACTGAGTAAAGCTGTACAAACAAGCAAATTGTTGTTTAATCAACATACCATGGCTAAGCAATTGGAGCTCAGTCTGATGTACAAACCCAACCACTGGCTTAAGAGACAATTAACTTCCTAAGCAAAATTACAGTATACACATAGGAGGCTAGGTTTACATCTCATGCTAGGACATAATGTGGCTTTGAGTTTTTTGCTTATATGTAGCTGCAGTTTGTAAATCACAATTTATTGTCATTATATATGAATTAGGTATTGCTTGTCGAATCAACCATGGATATAACAAAGATGGCTTACAGCAACGTGTGCAAACTTCCCACAGATCTGATAGGTTACATACATTTCTCATCAACATTACAACATAAACAGATTATTTACTGATCAGTATTTAAAGTGTTTATTATTTTAAACAGCTTTCATCTAAATTCTGAAGGACAACTGTTACTGCTTTATTTACCTTTCAAACCACTGCTTTATGCTCAGCATGAGAGATTCCTCAGGATAAATTTGATTCTCTCTTAAGTAGTAGAGGATATCAATACATTTATTTTTCAAATGGTCATCCTTCACAGGCTGACAAAAGTTGAAGAAAAGCTTTATTGTTGTCAAGTTTGGCGTCAGATTTTCAGCTAACATCTCATGAAACAATTCAAATGCAAGGTTTCTTTCTTGGTTGAGTAGGGCACCCTCAATACAGTCTCCATAATTTTGTCTTGAAGGGAACGAGACTTTTTTAATCTTTTCCAGTAGTATCAAGGTCTCTTTCCAGTGTGGGGAACCACTCAAGCCTTTGATGAGCAAAGAATACGCTGAATCTTCTAAATATTTATATTTGGTTTTCATAATATTATAGATATCATAAATCTCTCCCATTTGCTTATGAAAAACACACAGAGTCAAGTACTTCACCAAATAACTATATTCAACATCTCCATCACGCTTAGCCACCGCAGCCAGCAAGGATTTAGCCACATCTACCGGGCTATTATTATTAACCATGCTGTCAAACATAACATCTTCAAATTTTTTATATTCTTGACATTCTTCTTTTAACTTTTCCCATTCCTTGGCACTCAAAGGTTTGTCTGGAGGAGAGACTGTCTTCAAAGGAATAAGAGAATCATTTGCAACTGCAACATTTTTCTGATATATTGCCCTCCTCTTGGATGATCCGGCAGCAAATGCATTGAAAGGGTGGGGGGGAAATCTGTCTTTACCAGCGCTGTTCTTCTTCACACTGTCTTCTTTTATTTTAATTTCTGAATGAAATGCTTTAGGATCTATTGACTCTGCCCGCCTACATGATGTGGTAAAAGTGAAGCACCTACACACAGCTGGCAATTTTTGCTGTGTTGGCATGGGGAGGAATGTTAATGTCTGCAAAACCCAATTTCTTATTGGGAGGGAAAAACCCATAATGCTGAATAATTAAAACTGAAGGATTTTTTAAAGGAACCACTTCGTAATAAATATATAAAGGAAACTGACAGACTTGTCAAAACCTTGTAAGCTGGGAAAATAAATGATTGGTGTCACTAACACATTTAACTATCTCATTAAAACAAATAAGTTTTTATCATTCTCAGAAGAAAATAAACTAAAAGCCCAAATCAAAATGACAACATCTTTTCCTTCATTTGTTAAAATGCTTGACATCAGCATATTTCTGAAGTTCCTTCATTAGTGGTACCTGCACACAAGGGAGTTAAGCACAATGTGAGATAAAAACAGGTCACATTTCCTTAAAACGACAAAGATAAACTATAAATTGTACTCATTGGTAAGAACATTGATATCTCA